TTGTTATAAATATCCACACAGTGAAGATGACGCTCATGCAGCACGACGCCTCAACATTTCTGCTGTCTGTTTAGTTGTTAATATTAAAATAAAAATAGGCAGTTCCTTATATCAAGTTTACATTTTATTGTTGAGAAAGTGAAACAACGTAGCCAAGGTGATGTGAATGAAGTTATAAAGTACACTGTTCCCTGTGAAGATTGACGCGTGTCCTCGGTATGTTTTCCATATCAAACTGAGAAGAAGAGATGCAGCCTTGATCAAACTTGCGAAGTCTGAACTTACACGGAGAAGATTCAGGACTGAACTGTGTGTTAGGCTACTTAATATTGAGGAAAAGCCCCAATCAGAGAGGCGAATGTCTGCAGCCCCGCCTCCGTTTTCAGATGTCTCCGTCTTTCCCCATCCACACTGAGACGGAGCAGCAGCGTTTCAGAATGAAAACGGCCTCTCCAGCGTTTTCGAAACGCTCCGTTTTCGGCGCTCGAGAACTCCGGCGTAGTGTGGACGGATGGCGTAACCGTAGCAAAACTTATGCGTTTTCAAACTAAAACGCATTAGTGTAAACGGGGCCTTAGTAAAGTAACTTCTATGTACAGTAGTATGAATCCAAGTAGTTTGAATAGAGCTCAGAAGTACTACAGTACATCCACCATTTGTAATTATCAAATGACCTAGCTGTGTCAGTTGTGTTGCTTCACTCCCATTCATGAATTCTCTAGCGTGACATCATGGGATGTGCACTTCAGAATCTCGCCAGAAGTCATGCGGGTACTTCTCGCATACTGTTTTACGCATACTATTAGTTAAGACATACTATTCGACTCACATAATGTTTATAATATACTGTATAGTATGGAAGTATGCAATTTTAGACGCAGCCATCGAAACGAGCGAATGGGAACAGTCAAAACCATGCAAAAATTGTAATGTGAATGAAAAAATACTGATAGTTTAAGGGAAACGTTGGCTTTCAGTTTTGTTTAACACTAATTTGTATGTATATATATTTTTTATTCACACTTATTATTCTTGGTATTGTGACCTTGTCCTAAAATAATTTGAAGTAATCAAAGTAGTTTTCTATTATTGCATTGTAATTTGACGTTTACTGACTCCCATTTATATTGATGTTGATATTTAGCCGCACCATATTGGTGTTGCGTAACATCTAGATTTTATGAGGTGGGTTGTTGGCCCAACGCTCAACCCCCAACCTGGAGGACCAGGACATAAACGCATACATCATGGACAATTTGGCTTACTCAATTCACCTACAGCACATGTCTTTGGGCGAAACCGGAGCACCCGAAGAAAATCCAAGTGAACACCGGGAGAACATGCAAACTCCACAAAGGACTAACCCAGCCGGGGCTGGACCTTCTTGCTGTAAATCGACAGCGCTACCCACTGCGATACCGCGTCCCCCAGTTTGACGTTTATATTTTTATATATGCTTATCTCAACGCTTTTTATGCAAAATCGATCTTATGAGAATATTTTATTTAACTACAATATTTTTTTATTTTATATTAACCTCATCTGCCAGTTTCAAAGAGATTCTCCTTGACCTCCACATGTCAGCATTCATCTCTGTCTGAGTGCTTCTTTAATTGGCCGTTTTCATCAGTTCGGAGCCGTGAGTGATTTTATCCTCAGCCGTTGACATGACTGATCACGGTGGATCTGTCTTTCATTTCATATGACTGGTCTCCCTTATAGAGCCTGCAGGGCCATAGGTGTGTGTGTGTGTGTAAGGAAAGAAGTAGAGTAATACTCGTTTCCAGCCTTTAACCTGAGTGATTTTCAGGCCTCTTTTGCTTCATGCTGGAGCCAGAGGTTTGGATGCAGTGCAATGATGTGAGTGTTGATAATGGCGGCGCGGAAGGTTTGTGTTGGGGCTGCTTTTGGACACAATCCTTCAGGCTTAGAGAAACAGAGGAACACTCTTTGACTGCCTGCTCTCATCTAAATTTAAACTGTCCTTCAGTGAAAGGATTTCCTCAGCAGACAATCAAAGAGTCTGATCAAGCAGTGCAGGAATGAGTCATTTAAGTCTTTGCTACTTTATTTCAAACCGTTTTTTCCCAAAGATCCTATAAAGATATACAGTAGTCAAAACTATCAAGAATGGGTGCTTATCAGTAGTTTTAGGACAACATTGATGAAAGGTTGATGAATCCACTTTAAATGTTGAGTGTTTTATATATATATATATATATATATATATATATATATATATATATATATATATATATATATATATATATATATATATTATTGTACATATAAATCCACTTTAATGCTGTTTTCATTTTCTTTTGCTCCATTTGAAAGATTCTTCACTGTAAAAAGTAAAATGTTACTTAAAAAGTGAGTAAACCCATTGCTTTAAATTTAAGTAAATGTTCATAAATAATTAAGTTAATTCAACGTAAGAGTTCAAAGTTACATTGGGTTTACTTATTGTTTTATTGTAAAGTCAACTTGTTGCTTTAATAAGGTAATGAGTTTGTTTACGTGTTTTTAAATAGAGTAACTAAAGTAATTGTATATACACTGCCTGACAAAGGTCTTACTGCTAGGCTGAAGTATGAAAGGAGCACTATCCTCATAAAGAATTGTCCCTCTGCTGTTTTTTTTTTTGGAATCTATTGGGCAGCACAAATGTCTTGATACCTCAGGCTGTTATGTTGCCATCCACTCTGTAGACCTCTTGTACTGAATTTAACCCCAAACCCTGAATCTTGACTGATTTCTATGAGAATCTTGGGTCCATGTGGGTTCCAATAAGTTTTCCGCAGTATTTGTGATGGTTGTGATGCAGTTCATGATTTATCAGAAAAATCTACCTTCTGCCACTTTTCCAAATGATCAACTAGAAGTCAAGTTATTATTTGTTGCATTTACAACTGGGATCGACGACAAGACTTTTGTCAGGTAGTGTAATGTGTATATAAAAAGGGTTTTAATAATGTTTCAACTGAATCTACAACGGAGCTTAATTTTTTCTTTTATTATAGGATTTTTATAAGTGCCATCCTCATTTGAATGATTCTCCTGATACTGATTTTAAAACTGTTAAAATATATATTTGTATTTTATAATTAATCTATATTAAGTAAATCATTATCATTTTATTATTTTTTAAGATCAATCTTTAAATTACAAGTTTTCAATCAATGCATGTGAACATAGATCCTGTTTTTATCTGAGCTATGACTAAGCTAATCTGATTCAGGGCTACACACAAATGATTCATATGAACTTGTGTATTCTGATTCATTGTGTTAAAGAACATTAATGTACAAACACAGTCAAATATGACTTAATATCATGCGAAATATTAACAAAATTCCAATATAGAATATAGAAATGACCCTGAATGACCTGAGACTTTATTTCGAGCTTATATTGTAGCTGTATGTCAAACTGTGCTGAAATACAGTTATTCATAAATGTTTACGTATTTTTTCGAAAAAAAAAAATAACAACGTGTGTGAAATGGTCTTTGGCATTTCAATGAATGATGTGTGTTTTAGCTTAACACACCATAAAAAGGTCAAATAATCACATTTTAACTTCAGGATTCATTTTGAGGATGTCACAGACTTTAAATTGATTCTTTTTAATAAACATAGCGTTAAGTGCTCGTAAAGCCACTTTGCCCAATACTGTATCTTTTGGAAGACTACAACTAGGGCTGCACAAAATATCGGTTCAGCGTCGGTATCACAATGTAATCATTCTCAATAGTCACATTGTGAGTATAAGCAATGTTGGATTATAATTGATCATTTTGAAAGGGTTTTTTGAGGCCTGTGACTGTGTGAGGGTTTTAAAAGCAAAAATTGTACCATTTGTAACTTTGAAAAATTAATAACAAATGATTTTGTTAAACTGTTTATAAAACAAAGACTATGCAGTATTATTTTGCGTTTGGTTATTCAATTACTGTATACCTGAATACAGTTTGACTGCTAGGAAAATAATAAAACTCAGTTTATTTAATTTGTAACTTTTTCTTTATTAAATTTATCTATGCTTGAAGGTTGTTTATTATATTTAATGCACTCCCCTACAGAATCATCCCAATCAATCTAAAATAATCAATTCTTTACAAATAGTTATTCAATTCATCTAGTAAAGTTCATATTCATATCGCAATATATATTGCAGAATAAAAAATATTGCAATGTTAGATTTCTCCAATATCGCGCAGCCCGAACTACAACATTAATACTCTGTATTTTCTCTTATTTCATTTACAACATTTGTAGCAAATCATGTTCATTTAATCCACTTCCATCCCAGGTCTTTGTATGCGTGTCTAGTGTTTTGATAAATCATTCATGTCCGTAGCACCTTTGTTTCATGTGCTGCATGTTTGGCATCAGTCCTCTGCATTTAACTGTAGTTTACTTTCATAGGCGTCTTTCATCCGTCAGACCTTCACACGTCCACCTCCTGAATAATTGAGCAGGCTTATTCTCACCAGCAAAGCGGCGCCCACAGCCATGACACTACACGAGCAAGCGGCTCTGTCGAACAAGGTTTAATCGCTGGCTTTTTAGCCTGTGTGCCACGGTTTTGAGTGAGTCTACAGAAAGAAAAAGCGCTCCCCTCGAATTTCCTCAGATGCCAGTCTCTTTAAAGTTGAATCAGCCCTGTAGATGTTTGATTCTGGCCCTCAGCTAATTCTTAGCTGGGCTCGGCTGCGGATAACACTTAATTCAACTCGCCACATTTCTGAGTCTCTTTATTCTTCACAGCCAAAGGAAGACGTTTAAACTCGGCTGCTTGTTTTTGTAGCTTATTTTTAAGCCTCACGTGGACGCTGAAAAGATGGGAAAGTGGCGATTGAACCTCTAATGGTTAAAAAGGCAAAGAAGCTTTGAAAAATAAAAAAGAGGAATGAGCTGAGATGAATCGTAGTTTCTCTTGTCGCTCCTCTTTCAATGATTTCTCTACTCTCATGTCTGTTTGTTTTGTCGTTTTGCAGATGAAGTTATGGAACAAGTACAAGGTGACCAGCATTCCCTCTCTGGTGTTCATCGACGCTGCCACGGGGAAGGTGGTGTGTCGAAATGGATTGCTCGTAGTGAGGGATGACCCAAAAGGTGAGTATCAGGGTTCAAGTTTAAGTCTACATGCTCATTTTTGGAGGACGTAGCTCTATTTAAAAATTAACATTTGGTTGTAATTGACTTCCAAATTCTTTTGAGGAGAACAACTTGATGAATGTGATCAATTCTAAAGGCCAAATACTTCAGTTTTAACTTAAATATTTGGCTGTGTTCACACTTTGAAATGTTTGGTTTGTAGTAATCCACTTGTTAAGTGGTGACATGTTTGTGACGTATGTAATACTGTTTCCGGGTCCAAACCGCCATTCACTTGAGTGGAGAAATCATTCGTTTATGATCGCGTTTTATTCCTATCACACATTAAAGTTAATTTATATAAAGTCATAGTGTACACAACAATCTCTGGACTTGCTGCATAACAAATACCAAAAATTTTACAATTTATAAAAAAATTAATCACTTTCGGATATTAGGCATGGACATATATACTGCGATCGTAATTTTCAAAAGCTTTAAATCTTTTTGTAAACGTTTATTATTACCATTTCATGAGTCTCCCCATTCAGTTGAATAGAGCGCTTGGACCCGGAAGCCGCTTTGCGTGACGTCACACTTAACAAGCGGATAGTAGTGCTGGGCAGAGATTAATCGCATTTAAAATAAAAGTTTGTTTTGACATTATATATGTGTGTGTTGTGTATATTTATTGTGTATATATAAAAATACATATGTGCATGCATTTGAGAAAATGTTTGTTTATATTTATATATCTATAAATGTGATACAAATAATAAAAACATTTAGTTATCTATGTAAAAAAATTGTTTTGTATAGTTTTGTTTTTATTTATGTATGTATCACGTAAACATAACACTTATATATAATACACATACATTTATTATGTCAAAACATACTCTTATTTTGAATGTGATTAATTGCCATTGATCTTTGCCCAACACTCATTTATAGCATATATTTTGCAGTGCAGCATAAACAACATGCACTTATACCATAGTCTCTGTTAGTTTGTCAACAAAATAAGGACAAAAAAATAGCTTAAAACAAACAGAAAACTGTAATGTGCCTTCTGACCTGCTCATCTATAATGAATAAACAGCATAATGCAGTGGAGTATAACAAAGCTTAATGTTGGTTAGTTTTTATCTTTTTGGCTACATTTAAAAAAAAAACATGTTTATTTTTTTGTTTACTGTTTGTATGTAATGATATCCATCTTTACTAATGAAAAGGCCATTAAAGAATATACCACAGTCTGTTTAAGTGCCTGATTATGATTGGTTGGAAGATGTACAATAAAATCATTGAATGCACAGGTAATTCCAGTCATCTGTTCACATTAACCAAAGTAAACCCTTGACAGTTGCTGGAGCCTTCATAATCTCGAGGTTCAACAGAGAACCAATGGGGATCGCCTCAGCAGTATGCTCAAAAGTATTTGCAGAGAGGTTGATAACACGTTACTGTAAATGTCTATGTTATATACACACAGACACTCTCTCTTTCTTTATCTCTCTCTCAATCTTTATCTCTCTGTGTGCCTCCCACTGATTAAAACTGGACAGATCTAACATGTCAAAACTGACAATAATTGGATATTTTTAAACATTGTGCAGAAAACAACATTACTAGTTTTTCCTATTCATAACTTTGCAAATAACCAAACCCCCAGGATTTTTGCATGGATATTTTCTTTCAAATTTGTGGCCTAAACCGATTGATTTTGGGATTTTTCTCAACATTTATAATATTATTTGCTCTAGTTCTTGTGTTTTGCTTTGAAAAATACACAAACATTTTCCTTTGTTGACTCACAAAATCCTGAAGGGACTGATAATCCCTTTCTTTCGTGCATGCATGCGATGGTATTTTTAGAAGTTCTAATAGGCACTAATACTGTTAGTACTAGAGAACTAATAGGCAACATTGTGACTGAAAAGAAAAAGGTGGTATGCATGAGCATTTTGTCATTTTATGGGCACATCTTGTGACATCATGTCCTGTTTTTGGTTAGTCTAGATGTCTTTGGTCTGTGTTGTTGTTTTATGTGTCAGTTTAAGTGATCAAGACCCATCTTTTTAACCAATTGAGTCTCAAGGACTGGATTGACAAACTACTGAATCTTTTAATCAGTTTGATTTGGTTTTTTTAATCAGACCAGTTTGGATTTGATTGTAAATCTCACTGATTAGTTTATGAATCAACTCAATGACAAAACTTGATCTATTTGAAGAAGAACAGCTAGTGAAAAACCAGTCTCTAGCACTATTGGTTTAATTAATAAACCAAAAGATCCACTGAGACTGAACAAGTGATTCGGTTGTAAACCAGATCAGTAAATGAATCATTCATTCAAGCCGGACCCTTTCCATGAACAGAAATTCCAGTGATTTCTTTATGAACATAAGGTATTGCTTCCATCTAGAATTAGCTTGTGTTTTTATTAATCCAGTCACTTGTGTGCAACCAAGACACATTACTGTTATTATTTAATAATGTAAAGAATTAATTTTAATAATTCTTACCTCTGGTACTTTATATTAAGTGGCCTTAAAACATCAAAATATAAATACAATGTATATACTGTGTTCATAATGCATTGCAGAACACTTCTGGCACTCTTGAGGTGGGATTCGGGTTTAAGGGTTGGTTAAAGTGTAGGGGATGGTCAACAGTGTAATTAAAGATGTAATTACAGAAATGATTTACAGGTCTAATTATATCCATGTATTTAATCAGTTATAAGTTCAATGTAAAAACATGTTTACATAATAAGTACATTATAATATGATTAATTTTAGTGTAAGTACATTTTATTTAAGGCCACTGTCTGGGACCCATTATTGTTACATATGTCCTGTTTTGTGTCTCTTGTGACGATTTCATCAAGGCTCTACTCTAAATTTCCCACTCACCCCTAAAATTGAATGATTGGCCCCCTTGACTGCCAGGCATCCCAAGAATTTGGTATTGGCTATTTTGACCAATTGAATATTACAGCCACAAACCTCATTATATTGTGCCATTTGTAAAAAAAAAAAAAAAACACAAACAACAGATGTGTTGTGTTTTTTTGTACTCTTGCAGTGTTGTCATGTCCACTTATCATAAACGTCTGTGGGCTTGTTGTTGAACAAGTTCATTAGAGTTATTAGAGTGGTCAGATGTGATGTTTTGGTACTATTTACTACATAAATGACTTATTTATTCAGTTTGTTTCAACTTATTTAATGTTTTCTTTTCCCACCAAGATGGCAACACAAATGATTTGTTGTTGATTCTTGCTTTGTGCACTTGGTTATTAAATGTATACATAAGATGTTTGTTATATGCTTTAAAATACTTTTGATAGATCATCTGAAAATTTTAATTGCCTCATCATTTAGTACTCTTCGTCATGTGGTTTTACAGATTCTTATGTGTTCCTTTCTTATAAAAATGCTGGTGGATGTTATCCATTAGGGCTTCACAGTCAATTCAGCATCAATATCGCAATGTGAGGATTTGCAATAGTCACTTTGCAGGATCTGCAGTATCACTGTGTAAGCATTTCGAGTGAATTTAGCTAATGTTTGTAGCTTAAAGATTAATTGCATATATTTACACAATGAAGACTATACGCTGGAAAAGGGATTAATTGCTTTGCTTTAAAAAAGCAAGTGACCATGTAACCGTTAAGTTGACTTTATTTGTATAAATATGCACATAGTTCATTATTAATTTCATAATTTTAATTATTATAATATTAAAAATGTATCAATTTAATCAAAGTAAAATCAACTAATCACTTTTTACAGTAATTTTTACTGTATTTCTGAATTTTTTTTTTTGAAATTTTTCTGATTTTTTTTTTGTTGAAATTTTTACTGAATTTCAAATTTTACATTTGCTTGTTTGATTTCTGTCTGGAAACTGTAAAGCACTGTTTATTTCATGCGTCTTGTTGCTCTTTTGTATCCATTTGTGTTTGTCATTTGCTTATTATATTTATTGCAGAAACCCTACTTTACAAAATCATCATTACTAATTTAAAATGATAAATTCTTACCAAACAGAGTTATTAAAGTTATCTGGTGAAATTGCGTTTATACCGCAATATATAGCACATAAAAGAAATCAATGTCAGTTTTTTTTTTTATATCGTTCTGCCCTGGTATCCATTGACCTCTATAGTAGTAAAAAAATGTATTAAAGCCAATGGGTACCATCGACCAAAACTGTCTTTTGTTTCCAACAGAAAGAACTCAAACAGGTTTTGAACCTAAAGTGAAGGGTGAATAAATAATGACAGAGATTTCATTTTTGGATTGAATATCCCTTTGCGCAGCCCTAGATTGTGATTGTTCAAACGTTTGAGGACTGTCCATTGTATTTGACATTGACGTGCTCAGGAGCTCATATTGCACTCTTGACTTGCCCCCAGTGTACACGGTTGTCCTTCACGGTTGTCTGTTTGGCGTCGTTGAGCTCAATGCTTCTAATAAGGCTGGATTCGCTCAAGAGCCTTCATCTGCAACTCAACAATGCATGTAAAAGAAAGCTGTTTTATAGGAATGGCGAGGAGCCGCTGCGTTTTCATAAAAACCTTCATGCAGTGGAACTTGTCAGGTGATCAACATGATAGGTTCACAGCCTCAGCCTAATGAGAACTTCGGCTCCAGCGGTTTCCAGCAGTGAAAGTGAAAAATGAACTCGGTGATTCACGAAGCGCACTGCCATTCTGAAACACTGGCACAGGATTGATGACTCTGCTTTCCATGTGATGACATAACCAAGAGCTTTTGTTTGAAAGCATGTGGGGGCGGGAGCATCCGGTGTGTTTATATAGTGTGTGTGCACAGTAGCCAGTACAGGAGCAGGTTCAGAGGGCAGAGGGTTGGAAGGGGCCCTTATTTTAACAAAAGCCCCCCTGGCTGAATGTGTGGGAGTTTTAAACCCCAGCAGCAGCCCTGCTCTTTTGTTCTTTCTGGCTAGTAAAGCCTGTAGCAGAGGCTTTTACTCTACATCCAAAACATAGAGTTTATTATAAAAACCAAGCTCCAAAAAGGGTGCAAAAACATCACAAAGGGTCTATTCTGAACTTTAATATTGTACGCAATTGGTTTGTGTCTCTTCCAGGGAATTGAACTCAACATTAAAATAAGTAAATGAATTGTTCAGTAATGATTCTAATTCAAATTCCGATCTTGGTTCTTTTTGCAAATGAGACTGATTTGTTTCATGAATCTGGGGGATTGATTCAGTGAGCTGCTTCATTTCAATTTCATCATCTGAATTCTGATTATTCCAATTCATTCTTGAATTTAAGTCATTGGAGTTGAACTTGAAATATGAATCTGTAAATGAATCATATTGTTCTAAATGGCTGAACTGAAATAAATTGATTCTGTTTGCCAATCAGACTGATTGATTCATGAATCTGGGTCTTCGATTTAGTGAGTTAAAAATCAAAAACCTGATTACTAACTGAATTATTCAATAATCCTTTTCATTCTGATATGAATTCTGACAAACCTGATTGATTCAGTGAAATAAACAATGATCCAGATTAGAATGCAAATCATTCAGAGACATTCAGGTCTGAATTCTGATTATTTTGAATTTTGATCATTCTATTCTAAATTCAAATTGTGGTGGTTCATTTATAAAACTGAGTGATTGATTTAGTGAATTGAACAAAAAATAACACAGATCATTGAGTGAAGTATTTGATTCAGGGTGCCTTCTTATCTGTAATACATTTCCTTTGGTCCTGACCAAGGTTTAAAATGATACATTGTAGCATTTTTTCAGACATTTTTGTTTCATTTCAGACTAGACCGACTGCTCTGAACTGAACCAGTTGAAATGAACCAAAAATATAACACCGAAAATGCGGTTTAAATATGTTCCAGTTGGCTAGATATTGATTACCAGTCATTCAAACAACTTTACCGAAGCCTCTCTTCATGACCGTTGCTCTCGCGAGTCCACCATGTTTGTAGTTCGTTTACACTTTTTACCTGAGTTTGTAGTTCAAATCAAATTCACGTCCAATGTACAATGTATTATGGGCAAAATAAGCCTTTAGAGTATGGACGCTTCTATGCTTTTAATTTTTTACCAGAAATAGCAAACCACCCGGGAACTTTTGGCATACTCTTTTCAACATACTAATTCTGTTTTCCAATACGCAAATTGGGGCGCAGCATGCACATTTTCCATATCTCCTCAACCAAACACACCTTATTCAGATCTTCAGCTCATTAGCAAAATCTGAAAGACCTGTAATGGGTGTGACAGACAAAGGAGACATCCAAAACATGCAATATTGGTGGTCCTCCAGGAACTTGGTTAAGAAACACTGCTCCAAAATCACCTCTTTAAGCTGATCTCGATACGTTTGTTTGGTCCATTTTTGGTGTGCACCCAACTACAATTGACGATTTCACACCTGCCTAAACAAACTGGTCCAAAAACACTAATGAACTCTGGTGCATTTTAACCAAACTAAACGCGGCAAGGTACCCTTAGTGAGTTAAATTCAAGAACTAGATCAGTAAGTGAATCATTCACTCATCTTGAAACATTCTGATCCAAATTCTGACCATTTCGTTAATTTTATTATTATTATTATTATCATTATTGTTTTTTATTGTTATTGTTATTATTATTATTATTATTGATATTGTTGTTATAACTATTATTCATACTATTATTAATATTATTATTATTATCATTCATTCATTCATTCTCTTTTCGGCTTAGTCTCTTTGTTAATCCGGGGTCGCCACAGCGGAATAAACCGCCAACTTATCCAGCACGTTTTTTTACGCAGCGGATACCATTCCAGCCACAACCCATCTTTGGGAAATATCCATCCACACACACTTATACACTACGGACAATTTAGCCTATCCAATTCACCTGTACTGCATGTCTTTGGACTGGGGGAAACCGGAGCACCCGGAGGAAACCCACGAAAATGCATGGAGAACATGCAAACTCCACACAGAATTGATGTTGTTGTTATTGTTATTATTATTATTATTATTATTATTTTTAGTATTATTATTATTTTGAGTGAATTGATACAGGTTACTAAATTGATCTTTCGGAGATTTGGATCAAATTTAAATAATTCTGGGCTGGTGGGTGCAGGGTTTCTCAGCAAAATCAGTCATTTGATTCACTGGGTTAAACTAGAGCAGTGAATCAATAATTCAATGCTTTTGATCATTCTAGTCCAACTTCTGATCAGTCCAATCCAAAACATAGTGTGTATCTCTTACTGCTCTCTAAATCAATAGCAAGCAGACTGCTTAGGGGGTCAGCTATTTCTAGGTATTTTAAAAATCATTCCAACCCACAAAAATGTATGTGACCTAGGAGGGCATTGGGATGTCCAATGAAAGAAAATGAATGGTAGAGATGTTCCTATAAGGCGCAGTTCTTTCATTTTCAGTTGAACTGCACTACATAGACTAAATGCTTTTCTGAATAGTTCTGCAACACTCTACTTTGGAGAAATGGAGGAAATGCTTCCAATCTCCCAAATGTCTGCTGCCTTACGGGCAATGGAACTTCCATCAAACATAAAGATCCAATTTTTGCATAATCTCCCCATTCGCCTGTGTCACAGTGTTTGATTTCCATGCGCTGTCAGGATCCAGAGGCTCGGGTGTATTATAAATATGTGAATGACATATGCATGTGCTGCACTAGCAGTGAAAGGAGGATTGTGTGACAGTAATCAGAGTCCTGCTTTGCTCTGTTCCCATCCGTTCTGCAGGCCTGGAGTTCCCCTGGGGGCCGAAGCCTTTTGCGGAGGTGGTGTCCGGGCCCTTACTCAGGAATAACCGACAGACCACAGACAGCACTGCCCTGGAGGGATCCTATGTGGGGGTTTACTTCTCTGCACACTGGGTGAGCCATGAAAAGTGCTGGTGTTTCTAAAATAGTCGTACTGTGAAGACAAAACTGCAGTTGATGGATTCCACTCTGCTATCAGATATCTTTTCCTTTTCACATGTATATTGGTTAGTATTTTCTATGAATGACATTGATCATTTATTAATAAAGCAGAATTATGTCAGTAAGAGGGTTATCTTCCAGGTCCAAGCTCAGGCCACTGGGGAATTGGTGTTTAAAAGAGATTAAATTGACATCAACATTTAAGTATATCAATCAACTGCCCTTAAAATTGTGACACAGTGTTGTGTCAATGTAAGTATTCAATGGCAAATATTCGGCTACCATAAACCACTCTCAGTGTGGGGTTAACTTTCTATTTTCATCCAATTGCCAATGGCAATTCAGTCCAAACTGTATTTAAAATGATGTTACAGCTTTACAATCAATTTTTAACTAATGTGCGATGTCCTTCTGGGAAACGCCTTGTGTAGTGGATACAGTTGCAGTACAGTGGACAAGTCGCTTGTTAAAAGTAATTTGAGTCTTTCAGTTGAAAATGTTTTTTTTTTTTCATTGAGTAATTCTGTTTCAAACCTCTAACAATTCTAGTTTTGAGGCTGAGCAAGTCTAATTCTTTCTGACTGGAGAACTTTTAAAAGAACCGGTTCAGAAGAATCTTTTTTTTTTTTAATCTGAAATTAAAACTGATGACTTTAGTATTCGACTTGTAACATTTTAAATCCACCAGAACTAAACAATGACTCACGGTTCAGCAAAAGAATCAATAAGGATTCTAAAAGATTCACCGAGTGAAACAACTCAAGATTCAGGCTGTTTCATGAATCTTTCTGGAATGCAATTCCGAAAACCACCGTTAGCCAACTAAGATTGCAAGTTCCATCGTTACAAACCTAGTTTGTTGATTTGCCGTTTCACAAATCCATCGTTCCAACAAACTTCGCAAACTGCATCGCAAACTTGTATGCTTGCAACTGCACCTCTAGAGCTGTAGTTAGAAGCAATCATAGTGCACTTTGAAAACATTGATGACATTTAGAACACAGCCGTGGCTCATGACGAAAGCTGTAGGTGACCTATTATATAAAAGCGGAATTTACATTACGTCTCTAAAGCTTGTGGAAACAAAAATATATTAGATAGCATAGCATACAATAATTCTTTTAATTTATAGTAGGTTATTAATAAAGTATCTGTACTGTATATGGTATGGGCCTGTTGGTTTGAACATTTCTGCAGTGGTTTGAAAGTGTCAAATTGTAAAAGTAGACTTTTACAATACATAAAAAAGAAACAATATCCTGCTTAATAAAAATAATGATCTTCCTTATATCTAATAATCAAACTGTGATGTTCAGTGTTGTTCTTGTAGCATTTTGAATTAAACCAAAAGTTTACTCTTGCTTGATTAAAGCTGTTATTTATATGACACCTTAAAACCTGTTTACCTATGAAAACTTTTCAGGTCACAATTTATTTTGATGGTCCGTTTGTTGATTTTAAGTTACATTGCTACATGCCTACTTATTCTTTTTGATTATAAGTAGACTGTTAGGTTGGGGTTAGTGTTAGTGTAGGTTGACATGTACTTGCAAAGTTTCATTCAGTCAGTTAAATGTCTGTTGAAGGAGCAGTATCAACAGATATTAAGCAGACAGTCTACTAATACTCAAATGGACCATCAAAATAAAGTGTTACCCTTTTACCTGTTTTTTCTCTTTCTGAAAGTCAGTGTCCACAATCACAGTGGAAGGGTTTCTTGACTGACAGTGTTTCTTAGTTTGTTTTTCCAGTCCCTCGTTTTCCAATCCCAGACAAATAGTGAAGATGAGCCACAAAACCAGATGATATATATTTAGCATTCCTCATTTCCAACCAGTGTAAAGTGAACCACTATTAAAGTGACATTTATAGGACTATCATTGATATACTGATGCCACTTTTTTCTCCATTTGAAAATGCCATCAAATCACCTCGAAGAAACAGAGGAAAATGCTTTGTGAAATGGATATAAGTGAAGGAAGGATAACATTTTACTACAACCTCAATTTCGAAAATGTTGGGACATTTTGTAAAATTCCATTTGAATTACAAAAAAATAAATAAAATTTCCATAGTTTTCGTTGACCAAAAAAATTGTATTCTTTAATTATAAACAAGTTCACTCAAAAAAGTTGGGACAGAGCCAAGATTAACACATTCAAGAATAACATCAGTGTTCCTGTTAATTACAATGTATAAAAAGCTTATTTCATACAGACGCCATTTTAAAAAGTGAAAGCAAGGCTGCGGTGGGAAGAAACCCGGAACTATAGGATCAGCACTGTAAACATTGCAACAACATGCTGTGTACTACAAACCTCCAGCAGTTGCCGTGATTTCAAAATGCAGATATAATGTAAACATCACTTTAATACCATTTAATTACATTTAATTTAAACAATTAAAAGCATATTAGGCATCAAACAAAATCACAATCTCTTTAAGGCCCCGTTTACACTAGTGCGTTTTAGTTTTAAAACGGCGTTTTAGAATGAAAACGATCCGCATCCACACTCGCGTTTCACCCAGCGTTTCTGAAAAGCTCTCCGTCCACACCAAAACGCTGAAAACGCACATCACGTGACCACACACACACTCTCAGGCAAGCGCTGTAGCCAATCTACCCAGATGAGAGCTCTGCTAGTCGGACTTCTCATCAAGCATCTCCCGCTGGATCTAACCTCACTATATTTATTAAACGGGATATTTCTTTCATCTTGTTGTCTTTATTTAACGACATATTCATTGGACATTGGAATCTATTACTTGTTCTCAGGTAACGTGTTTTGGCTAAGCGCAAAGATAAGTTAATGATTAATGTAAGCACGTACATTCTGCATATTGACTGATCGCTTGCCTTTATTTCCTATAATGTATAAACTTATTGTATGTTATACTTTTATAATGGCCATTATCGATTAAAACTGATATTCAGCAAAGAGAGGGTGTGTTTCGTATTTTCACTGAAATTGAAAGGAGGCAGTTGTTATCGGCTCCGTTTTGTTATAAATATCCACACAGTGAAGATGACGCTCATATTTGCAGCACGGCGCCTCAACATTTTTGCTGTCTGTTTAGTTGTTAATATTAAAATGAAAATAGGCAGTTCCTTATATCATGTTTACATTTTATTGTTGAGAAAGTAAAACAACGTAGCCAGGGTGATGTGAATGAAGTTATAAAGTACACTGTTCCCTTTGAAGATTTACCCGTGTCCTCGGTATAGTCTGTTTTCCATATCAAACTGAGAAGAAGAGACTGCAGCCATGATCAAACTTGCGAAGTTTTAACTTACACGGAGAAGATGCAGGACTGAACTGTGCGTGTTAGGCTACTTAATATTCAGGAAAAGCCCCAATCAGAGAGGCGAATGTCTGCAGCCCCGCCTCCGTTTTCAAATGTCTCCGTTTTCCATCATCCACACTGAGACGGAGCAGCTGCGTTTCAGAATGAAAACGGCCTCTCCAGCGTTTTCGAAACGCTCCGTTTTCGGCGCTCGAGAACTCCGGCGTAGTGTGGACGGATGGCGTAACCGTAGCAAAACTTATGCGTTTTCAAACTAAAACGCATTAGTGTAAACGGGGCCTAAGAGTGTCCTAGGCTTCGGTTTATGGCACCAGGTAAACACCATGGGGACGTTTCCCTGCTTCAGCCTATGTAGCACACCCTTGTGTTGTCGATGATAGTGTTGTCCCGGTACAAAAGTTTTAATAACATCAATTTCCTGTGCCGTTAAGCACGTTCTTTAACACCCCTGATTTGTCATAGATTTCACCAGTACTCAACAGAAATAATAATACAGTAATAATACATTTTATTTATAAAACATTTTTCTAAGACCGAAAGTGCCACAACAACAGAGAAATCAAACATGCAATAAAACACAAGAAAAAACTCTTAAATATAGACGGAATAATAAAGAATCTAAAACTGCAGTCTTAAACAGATGAGTTTTTTGCATCTTCTTAATAGTGTAGAAGCATTTCTTACAGAATAAGGGAGAGCATTCCATAATCTGGGTACAGCAACATATAATATCATTCATCTCCTCACGGTTTGTGTCTCATTTTGTGAGCTGACAAAAGTTGTTCGCTCACCTCCTTCTCCCCTGCTGGCCACGCCCACTCCTGCCCTTTGCTCGCGAGCTCCACGCCTATTATTATGCTTATTTTGAAAAAATTCTGAGGTGGACCTGAACCGAAAGTGGGGGGTGTCATGACCCTCCAAGAGCCTGCTCAACTGCACTTAAATGTTAGGGGAAATTGACTTATATATATATATATATATATATATATATTAAACCAGAATTCAGCTTCATGACAAGTCTAATATAGTGAAAGAATCAGTTTATTAACTTGAGTTTGATAAATGGCATCTAAAATGTGTGTTTGGGAAAGAAAACGTTAGCTAACTAGTGCCATTTCCCTTAACTTAGCTGAAAATGAGGTCCAATATCCCTTTTTATTTTCACTATCCATTCAGAACGGACCTTCGGGTCACTTAAAAGGCGGTGAAATTATAAATTTGTGTCACTTTCTTTTCGCTGATAAGATATACAGCCAGGTACACAATGTTTCTCAGTGACTTCAGGCGATACGTTCGGGTTTCTTCCCACTGAAGCTTTTAAAATGGCGGCCCCGTGAAATCAGTCTATTGTCTGGCAATTGGAGGATACTAGTTATAAACATTTTTTACTTTTATAAACAGTTTTTACTATATTTGAATTTTAGTTTTGCTATAACATTTTGACATTTTTTTTGCTTAATCTGAGATGATACAAGACATTAGTCAATATCAGACAGTTAATTTTCTCTAGGTCTGGGTTTCCATCACCTGGTGTTAATGCACATTTTGAAGTAGAAATGAATGATGGAAATGCAAAATATTGAATGAATACCTTCGCGAAAAAGTTCCCTCGCTTGAGGTGGTTTTAGACTTGTGCGAAAAGTGTTCATGCAAAGAATGGAAGACAGAAACCTATTTGCCGTAATAACAAACTCTTGCAAACAATGTTGCAAACATTACTCACATGTAACTAATCAGCTGTCTCCATGTTCACCTTGTTTATTGTTGGTTACTAGGTTACCAATATTACAGTCAGTCATTCTAATTGCTCAATGGAGGTCTCATTTGTGATTCATTTTTTCTCTTTTGTGAAGTTTGAACAGATTTGCTTCTTAAGAAGGAAATCCAGCTTATGAAACCATGCTGTTGTAGTACATGCAGAGTGAAACTGGATCTAATAACCATAAATGTACCATTAAAGATGTCACCCTGAGGCAATATATGTCTGTGCTCTCCCAATATATGCCACCATGTCTGTGGTAGCTTCCAATAGTCACTCATATTATATTGTCATTTGCTTTGCTGCAGCTTTAATCATGATCGAGAAGTTTTAAATAAGTTAAAGGGGTGGGTCACAAAGATATCATATTTTAAACTTTAGTTGATGTGTAATGTAGCTGTGTGAACATAAACAACATCTCTGAATGTAAAAAGTTCTAAGTTCAATGCAAAGGGAGACTTTGGTTTTTACAGAGTTAGCTTAGCAAAGCCTACAATGAACGAATTTTGGCGACTACAAAAAATACTTCCGCCTCCTGTGAGATCACAAAGGTTCGTTTATTGCGCATCCACACTGCGCAGCTATGAGCCGTGGCTAGAGGCGCTGTAACGTTACAGCAAAGAGAGCAGAATTGCCATCTTGCTATTTTCACAGACCTTCTCTGTTTCTGTATTTGGGCTTACAAAGGACACGACACAAAGACAGAAGTGCTTACAGTTCAATATTAATTATGTTCCAGAGAATTATAAAATACACAGCAAGCATGATTTGACAAAACACAGCTTCCAGAATCTCTTCCAGTTCAGTGATGAATTCAGCTAAAATCTCCTCAAAGCAGAAGCTGTGAGCTACAACCTGTAAGTGTTTTTATTTGTTAAAATTGATCATGACATGTACAGTGTCTAGCGTTAATGGAAAGCTGTAGCAACAATGTAAACAATAAGAAATGCTGCTTTGCGGGCAAACGATTTAGCTACAAATTCTTATTTATCAGTCAAACTGCTGTAAACACACATACACTCCACCAGCACGTTCGCGTCTCATGTGTGTGCGCGACTGCACTGATTGTCTTCAGGCAGCTTTTCCAAGCGTTTCACATCTCAGATAATGAAGTCGCAAAAGATCTGTGGATGATTCATTTTACTTACACCTGCATATTCCAGATACACGTGAAAGACGTCGTGTAACGCGTTGAGTTAAAAAAATACAGGAGAGCTTCACCTGACTCGTGTAGCAACAGAAAAATAAATCAAGGCTCACACAGGTAGCATCCCACATCTTGTGCTTTATTCTTCTGTCACGATATCTTACAGAAAATAACTTAATCCGAGCATCAAAGAAAAAGAAAAAAAAAACTCTTGTGCACATGCGCTTGTTACAGAAAGTTCACACATTCACACACACACACACACACACACACATAGACGCAGACAACATTCACACACACACACACACACACACATAGACGCACACACAATGACAAACGCTCTTAAAGGAACCGTACCCCATTTTCACTCGTTACAGACACTTGTCAGATTTTATTTTAGAGAGCAGGCGCGAGGTTGACTGCATGTTTACACAGCAGAAAATCGCGTGCTTGTACGGGCGTGACGTGGAGCCAATCCACGAATCGCAGCACATTATGACGATGACCAATTAGAGTCACTTAAGGGCGGGCCTTTTAGAGAAACTAGGAAATTTGACAGTCGTTTTCATGTTAGCTGAGTAGCTGTGTATAATCAAAGTAAGATATATGAAAAAATTACGCAATTTCCTTCAGGTGAAACATGAGCACACATTGCTTTGCATCCTAAAAACACAACCTAGCCTTAAAATTACATTCTGGACCACCTCTTTAAACTACCTGAAGCATTTTTATCTTTACAACCAGAATGTTTGAAAACTGTAAAGCATTATATTAATATAATGTGTATGTGTGATATACAGTTGAAGTAAGAATTACTAGACCCCCTGTTTATTTTTCCCCCAATTTCTGTTTAATGAAAGGAAGATTTTTTTCAGCACATTTCTTAACATAATAGTTTTAATAACTCATTTCTAATAACTGATTTATTTTATCTTTGCCATGATGACAGTAAATAATATTTGACTAGATATTTTACAAGACCCTTCTGTACATCTTAAAGTGACATTTAAAGGCTTAACTAGGTTAATTAGGTTAACTAGGCAGGTTAGGATAATTAGGCAAGTTATTGTATAATGGTTGTTTGTTCTGTAGACAGTCTGAAAAAAATTTGCTTAAAGGGGCTAATAATTTTGTCCTTAAAATTGTGTTTAACAAATTAAAAACTGCTTTTATTCTAGCCAAAATAAAATAAATAAAACTTTCTCCAGAAGAAAACATTTTTATTAGACATACTGTGAAAATGTCCTTGTCCTGTTAAACATTATTTGGGAAATATTTAAAAAAGAAAACAAAATTCAAAGGGGGCAAATACTTCCAACTTCAACTTTAAGTGTATTTAATTTAATTTAATTTAATTTTACTTTATATTATTTGGAATATAATTGAATTTAATTTAAATATAATATAAAATTAAATAAAATAATATATTATTTTTATTTTATTATTTTATTTAATATAATTTAATAAAATATTATTTGTTTTGATTTTATTTATTTGAAATAATTTTCATTTCATTTTTAATTTAATTTAATTTTGAATTTTTTTAATTTAAAGCATTTTCTTTTTTATTTTATTTTATATTATATTAATTTGATTAAATTTTAATAGAATATAAAATAAAATAACATTTCATTTTATTTAATTTTAAATTTAATTATTATTTTTTTATTTAAATTTAAATCATTTTAATTTGATTTTATATTATTTTGAATATAATTCTATTAAATTTAAATATAATATAAAATGAAGAAAAAAAATATTTTGAATTTAATTTAATTTTAAATTTAATTAAAATAATTTTAATTCGTTTATTCATTTTCTTGTCGGTTTAGTCCCTTTATTAATCCGTGGTCGCCACAGCGGAATGAACCGCCAACTTATCCAGCAAATTTTTACGCAGCAGATGCCCTTCCAGCCGCAACCCATCTCTGGGAAACATCCACACACACATTCACACACACACTCATACACTAGACAATTTAGCCTACCCAATTCACCTGTAATGCATGTCTTTGGACTGTGGGGGAAATGCAGGGAGAACATGCAAACTCCACACCGAAATGCCAACTGAGCCGAGGCTCGAACCAGCAACCTTGCTGTGAGGCGACAGCACTACCTACTGCTCCACTCCTCACCCCATCATTTTTATTTTATTTTATAGTATTTTGAATACAATATAATTTAATTTAAATATAATTTAAAATGAAATAGAATAATTTTTATTTTATTGTATTTTATTATTATTATTATTTATTTATTTTATTTTTTTATTATTCTTAACTCTTAGGCCCACAAAACCCATGTATAGTAGCACAGCTCTAGCAACAACAATGGCATGGGTTTTATTTCATGTCAAAAATGATTTAAAAGAGTCTCTTCCTGTGTGATCATTAAACTTAGACAAAGCCCGCAGATGTTCTGTGGGAAATCTGCATAGAGGATCTACATGTAGTCAATGCATCTTGAAAGCTGTAAGCAGTTATCAGATCTTCATGAATATTTGTTAAAGAAGTGCTGGAGGATGTGTGTGAATGGCAGGCGTTTGAGTCTGTGTGTGTGTGTGTGTGTGTGTGTGTGTGTGTGTGTGTGTGTGTGTGTGTGTGTGTGTGTGTGTGTGTGTGTGTGTGTGTGTGTGTGGTGTGTGTGTGTGTGTGTGTGTGTGTGTGTGTGTGTGTGTGTGTGTGTGTGTGTGTGCGTGTGTGTGTGTGTGAATCTGCTGAGTTTTCTCCCCATGTAGACCCGCCGCCAGTCAAAGGTCTGCAGATCTGTAGAAGAGAGCTGAGTGAAGCATCTTAGGCTGGATCTGAAAAGAGAAAAAAACATGCAGCACAAAATGCCTCCAAGCTATGAAAGAAAGAAGGAGTTTAAAAGCTTTTCCTAGTCCTAGTCACTTGTGTTTGTTTTGTTTGTTTCAGTTTTTTTCTTTCTTAAAGGACTGCTGAACTGCAGGGAGAGTAATATTAAGTGCTCTGGGCGCTCACTTGGCCGCTAAGTGCTGTTTATTATCGGAAAGCCTGTAGGAGATCTGGCCATAACTTATGTATGTGTTTGTGTGTGTGTGTTTTCTCCCACAGTGTCCACCTTGTCGCAGTCTAACCCGAGTGTTGGTGGAGTCGTACCGTAAAGTAAAAGAAACAGGGCAGAAATTTGAGATTGTGTTCGTCAGTGCAGATAGGTAATAAAAAGCATGTTAAAAGTTCCTTTCATTAACTAATGTGAAGCTGATTTATACAGAATAAAAACTATATCAAAATTAAGAGGGAAGAAAAAGTGATGTAGCGATGTGTTGTTCTTCAGGTCGGAGGAGTCGTTTACTCAGTATTTCAGCGAGATGCCATGGTTAGCTGTGCCGTACTCAGACGAGGCCAGACGATCAAGACTCAACAGACTCTATGGCATCCAAGGTACGTTTGTTTGGAGGTTTGTCGTGTGTCTGGACGTCACGCTGGATTCAGCCTGACCCTGCAGGAGCTGCAAACTGAGCTGAAGGAGCTCAGGAATGTGGGCGGACAATCAAGTTTACTTTACTATAACTGTTCTGCATCTCTCGCTCTGTCTGAAGCGCACTCTCTCACTCGGTGGAATGAACAGTAATGAAGACAGGGGTTTTTAAAGGGACAGTTCAACTAAATATGAAGATTTGGCTATTTTTTTACCTGCAATTGTTGTTCTAAACCTGAATAATTTTATTTCTTCTTTAAAGGAACACTCCAATCTGTCCTGGTTGAAAGATGTCTTTTTTTTCATTTGGAAAAGAATTAATAGTCCATTAGGGGCTGATTTTGCTTAATAAATTATTATAAAAAAAGGAACACTCCAGTTTTCTAGAGTTAAATGATTGATATTTATCATTTTTTAATCCATTTAGCCGATCTCCAAGTCTGCTGGAAAAACTTTTAGCTTAGCCTAGCATAGATCATTGAATTGGATTAGACCGTTAGCGTCTCACTCAAAAAAAGGAAGACTTTTGATTATTTCCTAGGAACTTTGTTGGCGTACCTTGTCTGCAGCTGGCGCGATGATAATAGGTAATGACTAGGTAACAGCATGAGTAGATATTGTAAAGAATGTATTTGCTAATTTTGACTGTTTATTGAAAGTCAGTAGGATACAATACTTAAATAAAATCTATTTTATAAAAGCCATAAATTATATTCTAACATTTCAAAAAGTATTATTATTAAAACTGAGTATTAAATTTCAACTAATCGATTTACATAATTAGCTTTAAGTTACAATAAATTAGCTATATATTTACAGCACCATCACCAGACATTTTAAGTACTTAAAATGCCTTGTCCTGTGTTCATCCTTACACTATTTCTGTGTGTTTTGATTAATTTTTTTAATGTTTTGTTTAGTTTAGTTTGCTTTTAGAGAAAAATCTAATTTTATTTAAATCTCTCACCCTTAGGCTATGTCCACATTAATGCGAAAATCCAAATGAAATGTTCAGATGCAAAAGCCACTAAACACCACTTCCAAAAATGAGATAATCAAATCATCTAAATCGCAGCATCAGCCCTTTCAGAAAATAACAGTTTGTTTGCAAAAGCTGCTAAATGTCACTTGCCTTTGAAAACAAAACCCGTTATATCCCGAGAACCAATCAGAAGGCGTGAATCGAATCATATGTTTTCAGTGTAACTGAATACGCCAGTATTTAATATGTGGGGAAGGAGACTGTTTTATTCCGCTTCCGATTCTTTAGATTTTAAAAGATAAAGTTTAATGAACTGGATGAGCCTGTCCGACGGTTACTGAATGGTAGATGAAAACGTCCCTTACCGGCTCAAAACTCTGTGCATTATAAGAAAAAGAAAACACAATGTACAGTCGGAAGTGTAGTATGCATTCATAATCATTTTTTGTGCTGCAATGCTACTTTAAATGAGTCCAATTTACTATGCATTAAACTGCAACTCCGTTTCAGGAAAGACAAAGTTAAGGTGCTGTTCTTTTATCCCACGTGGACACTATGAGGATAAACAAGACACTAAAAAGAGACCAAGACCTTAAGTATGCTGAGAATGAATGAATGACTTCATAAAGTGTCTAAAAGTGTCTGAGAGACATCCCCTTTTTGCACAGTAGGTCTACCTTTTTTATTTGCTAATGAAAGCTATTTTTTAAAAGATAAATACGTGTAAAATGTCATATTACTTATACGCCTGATAAGCATTTTAAATTTATGGACTATGCACAAATATTGATGTTTCGCAACGTTTTCACACTACATTATTTGAATCTAACAAGCTTAGTTTAAAATGGTTGCAATGTTTACATGGTTCTACGTACATTAAATCTAAATCCCAAATATCAGAAATGCCAACAGATTGTTAAGATTTAATCAATGTCACTTTTAATGTTATTGATTATTGCACTTACATGACAGATTTCATTTATTGATTTTCTTTCTGTCTAATCAGAGGTTACCACAATGAACCGGCACTTACTTGACAGATTTCTGTATTTTTAATTTCAGGTGGCTTGTGTAATGTGTTTTGTGCTTGGTAAAATTATTTCTAATTGCATATTTAGTTTTTTTTTTTTTTTAGCAAATTACAGTCTTGTCCCAATAGGTGGATTTTGAAAAAAAAAAAAAAAGGCAGAAGTGGATTTAGCTGGTTTTGACACAAAATTAATTAGACCTGGTTAAAAACCAAAAAAAAAAGGTCTAATGTGACATTAAAAAAAGTTTTTATTTACTAGCTGATAACCTTTTCATTATCTTTTAAATGAAACTTCTGAACCTAATCAGAGAAGCCTGATAGAAAATGCTCATTTACAAGAAAAGAGGTCTGATGGATTTAGAGGGTTTTGCATCTGAATAGTTCAAATATTTTTCTCTTTGTTTTACCTTCCATCCACACTCAATTGGCATTTTTAGGCAAAGAAAACATATTTTTGAAAACACTTTTCAATGTGGATGCATTTGAACATTTTATTTTCAAGTCGCAGTTTGGACTGTGAAAACAGTTTTTAGTCATGTGACCAATTCAGGTAAAATGGGGAACGACATTATACAGCTGTTGTTTTGGATGCTCTCCATTTTCCTCAACTGATGTGACATTTCAAAGAGCTGTAAAGTAAGCAAATTCCATGCGTAAATGATACAGATTTTACGTCTTCTGTCTCAAAGCATGTGCTTTCACAGGGACGAAAGCGTTTTCAGTTGTTTCATTGGGGATGAACAACTTTTTAGGAAATAATTAAAAACAGAAGTGTAGGCAAAACTCTAATTCATCCGGATGAATGTAGACATAATTAGCAATAACAATTAGCTCTAAATGTAGTCCTAATTAGCTTTAATTAGGTTTAAGGGTTACAAAATATGTAAAATAGTTTAAAAATGTGTAAAATGCCAATAAAAGGTATGGAGCAGGTATCATAGGGCTCCTTTCACCATCTGAGAACTCTTTGATTTGGCTTTCTTCTCTTCTCCTGTGGGAGTGGACGCACTGAGAAGGAAAGATCTGGCTGGTGGCCTGTCCGGTCTGGAATCTGTGGAATTCAGGTTGGAAGAGTTGATACTAACTCCCCCGTCCTCCACCTCCAGCCTGAAGACGCTGTGTGAGTCTGATAAGGCCAGTAAAACTGCAGGCTGATCTCTATCTGTAAGAGAGATCTGTGTGACCACAGGCAGTCTGAAGCACCTTTAGTCACTCTTAAAGCCACTGTTCAGCACTGCTTTCCAACTCACAGACCAGAGTTGAAAAATTAATCTCTAAAAGATGTGATATGGATTCAAACACAATCAGGGTATCTTCCGTCCAATCCTAAACACCTGTTCCAAAATGACTTTAAATTCCTAGAATGTTTCTTAAAACTTTTGACAAGTGCGATCATTGCTTTCTATTCAAATCAGTGTTTGACCCAGAGAAAGCAAATGATCAGTGTAAAGTCAGTTCAATTACATGATTATTATCTTTATTTCTGTTTTAAAAACAATTACATTAGCAAGAACTGGGATGACAGTTAATGTTATTGAACACTGAATGTTAAATTTTCATTCGGAATTTTCACACGTTAAAAATTTAATTCGATCTCGCGTTGTGTCAATTGTATTGACACATCGCATTGTCATTTTTTATTTTTATTTAGTAAATTTTTTTACTGTTTTTCTCATCCGAAAAAGCATTTTGAGAGGTGTTTTGACAGTTATGCTGCGTCCCAATTCGCATAGTAAAACTAGGCCCTAAAAGTATGTACTTTTTTTTTGCAGCAGAATAATCTGCCATTTGCGAGTCCTTTTTATGCTGAGAAATCTGCTCAGGTCTTTGGGTAATTATGCATTTAGAGGTTAATGTCCAAACATATCTTAATATAACTTCAAATTGTTGTTAAATATTAAATATAACATGGAAACGCAGTGTAAACATGTTCCAGTTGGATAGATATTAATTAACAGTCATAAAAACATCTTTACCAAAGCCTCTCTACTTGACCGTTGGTCTCGCGCATCCGCCATGTTTGTAGTTTGTTTACACTTTTCACTCGCGTTTGTAGTTCTAATCAAACTCGCGTCCAACGCGCAATGCATTATATGCAATAGCAGCAATTAGAGTATGGACGCTTCTACTAGCGCTGTGCAAATAATCAAAAAAAAAATTTCGGCTTCTAGCGATTATGAGAAAACATTAATCGAGTTAAACGATTATTGCATCATGTACCACACCCTTTCCAGTTGTGCACATACGTTGCTCTGCAAAGCTCAGTTTCACATGAAAATGACTAAAATAATGTACTGTAATGTAACTTTTGCAGAATGGGAAGCATTGATGCACATTTGAATCATTCATGTTTTTTAAAAGCGCGAAAGAGATCTTATGCTGTTGTGTGTGTTTGTTCAGCGTCAGAGACAAGCAGAACGGTTTCCTCACAGCAAATAGGTATTCACAGCCTTTACTCAACACTTTGTTGATGCACCTTTGGCAGCAATTACAGCCTCAAGTCTTTTTGAATATGATGCCACAAGCTTGGCACACCTGTCTTTGGAAATTTTTGCCCATTCCTCTTTGCAGTACGTCTCAAGCTCTATGAGGCTGGATGGGAAGAGACGGTGTACAGCCATTTTCAGATCTCTCCATGTTTGAGAAAACTCGATGTTCAATAGGATTTTGGTCTGGGCTCTGGCTGGGCCACTCAAGACCATTCACTGAGTTTTTGTGAATCCATTGCGATCTTTCGTATGACTTTTCAAATCATGTCCAATCAGCTGAATTTACCACAGGTAAACTCCAATGAAGCTGTTGAAACATCTCAAGAATGATCAGTGGAAACAGAATGTACCTGAGCTCAATTCAGAGCTTCACGGCAAAGGCTGTGAATATTTATGTACATGTGATTTTTCAGGTTTTTTATTTATAATAAATTTGCAACAATTTTAATAAATCCTTTTTACACATTGTCATTATGGCGTATTGTGTGCAGAATTTTGAGGAAATAAATGAATTTAATTCATTTTGGAATAAGGCTGTAACAAAAAAACAAATGTGGAAATAGTAAAATGCTATGAAAACTTTCTGAATGCACTGTAAATGGTCCTGAAAGTAAGTAAGTAGGTAAGGGGTGGTTGAGACCACAACCAATTAATATGAATAAAATGTTGTTTTAAATCTAGCATTATTTACATTAAAAGTAATTATTAAAAGTTTAATTCTCACCTTATTTCAAACCAAAATACATTTCTTCCTTCTGTCGAACACAAAAGAAGAGATTTCAAACAACGTTGTTAACAAGATAGTTGAGAGTAACCATTGACTTCCATAGGGGGGAAAAACTATTGAATTTATGGGCAAAATTAACTGTTTGATTACCAACATACTTCAAATTATGATCTAATGTGTTCAACAAAAGAAAGAATCTCTTAAGGGTTGAATAAACTGAGGGTGAGTAAATGACAAAAGAATTTTCATTTTTGAGTGAACTATCTCTTTAAATAAGTTTGTAGGAAATAAAGTTGTACGCAGTTTTTTTTCCTTATATTGTCTCCAGGTATCCCTACACTGATTTTGCTGGACACAGAGGGCCACATGATCACGCGGCAGGGACGGGTGGAGATTCTCAATGACCCCGACTGTGGGCTCTTCCCATGGCACCCGCGGCCTGTACTGGAGCTTAGCGAGTCCAATGCTGTGCAGCTTCATGAAGGACCCTGCCTGGTGCTGTTCGTAGGTGAGGAGATGATGTTCACCCTGTTGACCCATCACCTCACTTTAACTGCCCTCATCGTCTCATCTTGTCAAAACGTCTTTTAGATGCTGAGGAGGAAGGAGAGCTGGATCCGGCCAAAGAGCTCATCCAGCCAATCGCAGAAAAGATCATGGCTAAATACAAAGCCAAGGAGGAGGAGACGCCACTGCTCTTTTTTGTAGCTGGAGAGGTACGTTCATTATCTCTTCTCTCCCATATGCGTAGTCGAACAAGTAAAGGCAATGTTCAACCAAAACTGAACATTCTGTCATCATTTACTCACCTTGTTCCAAAACTGTTTGAGTTTTGTCTTTTGTTGAACACAAGTGTTTTTAAGAGAGCTGAAAACCAGAACCATTGACTTTCATAGTTTTGTTTTTTCTACTATGGAAGTCAATGGTTACAGGTTTCCATCTTTCTTCAAAATATCTCCTTTTGTGTTCAACTTAAAAAAAAACCTGAAATGTGAGTAAAGTTTTGGGTGAACTATCCCTATAAAACTTTAGTACAACTAACTACTTTACAATGTTATATTCAGCCTTTGTTTACTTACTCAGATGTTGTGCTAATGCTTGTCTGTTTTTGTGACCTCCAAACAATAAATTTAGAAAAATGTCCTACCTGTGCTAGTTCATAAGATGGCAGGGAACCATAAACTGTAAAAAGATTCAAAAGTGTCATGGATTGGTCCCAGAGACACAGCTCACTCAAACTTAGCCAGAAACAGCAGCACACAAGCTAATTGTTTGGGTAAATCAAGATTAATGACTGTGCAGCATAAAGTACTAGGCTAGAAACCCCCTCATATTTGTAGAGTTTAGAGAACTTATTCGAAAAAATGCTTCATGTGGTTTAATTCGTAATAAATGAAAGCCAAAATTAGTAGTTTTTATTTTAGATGTATTGTAGTCACAGGCAAACAGATGAACCTAGAATATAAATGCGGTGCACTTTGTTAGTAGTTTTTCTCCTATAGAAAAACTGTTGGAAAGATTTTTTTTCTATAGTGCCCTTCAGTCAGGACACTTTCCATCAGAAAAAAAAACACAGTAAAACATACAATACAATAAAGGGAGAGTGACAATTGAAAAAATAAAATAAACATCTTACAGGAACAAAAATAAAGCGCTTAAAAGCCTTTCTAAAGTCTAAAATCTATTCTACAATTTAACAATGGACATTTAGTCATTAAAATCTCATCCTCCACTTATTCACCTGCACTAAACCTCTTTAAGTTAATATTTTCTATTGAACATTAAAGTAGATATTTTGAAGAATGTGGGGAACAAACAGCCATTGACTTCTTTAGTATTTTTGTTCTTATGGATGTCAGTGGTTCCTGGTTTCTTCATTCTTCAAAATATCTACAGTTGTGTTCAACAGCAGAAACTCTTTGAGTGAGAGTAAACCACTTGAGTGAGAGTAAACGATGAGGACATTTTCATTTTTGCATGAACTATCCCTTTCACAATCTGTGTACTGAACCTAGTCTTTCTGCTTCACTTTCTTGATGCATTAAGCCACATGAAACATTTTTCTTTCTGTTCTGTATAACTGTTCATTATATCACAGGAAAATGTACATAGGTACATACCTAATCTGCTTCCCTGTACGTAGAATATATTTTGAACATACTTTATATCAAATTTGATGTCTATTCATATCACTCTTTTAAGGTATTGAACCACAATAAGTATTTTCAAGTGGTTTAGATTTTTAAAACTTAAAAGCTCTGGTGCCCATTTATTTTCATGCAAAAATGCAAGAGCAAACAGAACATTATTCAAAACTCAACCTTTTGAAAAAGAAAAGGTCATACGGGTTTGCAGCAACATGAAAATGAATAAATAATGCCAGATTGCTCTTTTTACTTTTGGATGAACTGTTCCAATAAAGGGGATAGAACACACAAATATTTAAGTGACCTCATTTACTCTTCCTCATGCGGTTTTAAACCTTCACGAGTTTCTTTCTTCTGTTGAATATAAAAGAAGATATTTTGAAGAATGCTGGTTAATGGTACCTCTTTACTGAAACAAAATTACTACAGCAGTCAATTTAACTTCAAAGGAAAAAAAGACAAAACAACAAAATAAACAAAACAAACACAAGACAAAAACTAAACTAAAAACAATACAAAGAAAGCAAATATACAGCAAAACAGGCAACACAAGGCTAGATGAAACAATAATAAAAACACAAACTGAACAAAATGGTAAAAAAAAAAAAGAAGTCAGCAAACAACATTATACCAAGCCAAATCACTGGAAAAAACAAATAAGAAACAAACACAATGATGCAATAAAAAACTAAAGAAAAATGCAAGCGAGGTGAAATACAACAAAACAAACACAAGGCAAATCAAAAAATAAAATAAAAAACAATACAAACAAAACAAAACAAAAAAATAAATAAACTACAAAACAACACTTAATGAAACAACAATAAAAATACAAACTGAACAAAACAGTTAAACAAAAGAAAAGAAATCTGCAAACAAAAATATGACAAACACAGGAAGCAACGCAAAAAGAAGACAAAAACAAATAAGAAACACAATGACAAAAAAAAACTAAACAAAAATTCAAGCAAGGTAAAATACAACAAAAAAGTCAAAACAAACACAAGACAAATCAAAACTAAAATTATAACAATACAAACAAAACAAGCAAATATGCGGCAAAACAAGACTTAATGCAACAAAAATATTACAAACCAAATCACTGAAAGCAATGCAAAAAGAAGACAAAAACAAATAAGCACAATGATAAAATAAAAACAAACAGAAACACAAGGAAGATAAAATACAAATTAAAAACAAAACTGAAAACAATAATAACAAAACAAAGAAAACAAATAAACTACAAAACAAGACTTGATTAAACAAAACCGCAAATTGAACAAAACAGTAAAACAATAGAAAAGAACTCTGCAAACAAACAAGCCAAGCCAAAACGTTGGAAGCAACGCAAAAGAAGACAAAAACAAATAAGAAACACAACGACAAAATAAAAACTAAACAATAATACAAGCGAAGGAAAATACAACTAAACAAACACAAGTCAAATCCAAAACTAAACAGAAAACAATACAAACAAAAACAACAACAAAATCACAAACTGAACAAAACAGAGAAAAACTCGGCAAATAACACCAAAATAAAAACTAAACAAAAACGCAAGCAAGACAAATTGCAACACCATAAATAATAAAAGGACAATCTGATCATTTGCTCGCTTTCACACACAAGTGTGATGTGACATCTGTTTCTGTATATTTGTGTAAAACAATCCTGCGGGAGGGCGGCCTGCAATCACCGACATGTACCGCAGTAAATAAAAAGAGCTGCAGTTGAATGGCAAGCACATGTAGCACAATCCTGAACCCCAGAGAGTGCCAAAACAGCTGTGCCCTTCTCCTCTCTCTTCTCTCCCTCCCTCACTTTTTTTCATCTCCCTGATCACCTCTTCGTCTTTCAAGGCCGCGTGCCAAGTGGGAGGAAAGCCAACATTTTCATAACTCTTATCTGCTGTTTTCTCTTCATGACCTTTGAGGAAGTCATGTTGAGAGCGACGGCAGCCGTAATTAATAGATTATTAGCCGCCCCTTTCTTTTCCTGCTCCCTTTCTCACTTCAATTTTCTCACCACCGTTCAGAATTTTGGTGTGTGTGTGTGTGTGTGTAAATGTGTATGTACGTGTGTGTGTGTACGTGTGTGTACGCGTGTGTGTGTGTGTGTGTGTGTGTGTGTGTGTGTGTGTGTGTGTGTGCGTGCGTGCGTGCGTGCGTGCGTGCGTGTGTGTGTGTGCGTGCGCGTGTGCGTGTGTGTGTACGCGTGTGTGTGTGTGTGTGTGTGTGTGTGTGTGTGTGTGTGCGCGTGTGTGTGTACGTGTGTGTGTGTACACATGTGTGTACATGTGTATGTGTGTTCGTGAGTGTGTCGCACCCAAATCCTCAGGATGGCATTTTTGCTATGCCATGGTTTGAGTTTCAGGCATACAACACACATTCTTTAGCTGTATGTGTTTATCTGTGTCATATGCATTTAACTGCTAATTTAATTTGCTTATATGTTTTTTGTTTGTTTGTTTGTTTGTTTTGAAAGTTGATGTTTTTTTTTATTGTTGTTTTATTGTTGTTGTCTCATTTTGTTTTGCATTTTTTGCTTGCTGTATTTTCCTTAGTTGTTAAACTGTACTTTAGTTTTTTGTTGTTGTTTTGTTTTGTTGTGTTTTGTTGTTTTTGTTGTTGTTTTTGTTTTGTTTTAATCTGTTTTTTGTTTTGTTGTTTTTGTTTTGTTTTTTGTTTTGTTGTTTGTTATGTTGTGTTTTGTTGTGTTTTGTTGTGTTGTGTTTTGTTGTTTTTGTTTTGTTTTTTGTTTTGTTGTGCTGTATATTGGTTTGTTTTGTTGTGTTTTTGTTTTGTTGTTGTTTTTGTTTTGTTGTTTTGTTTTTGATTTATTTTGTTGTTTTGTTTTTTGTTTTGTTTTGTGGAGGTTGCTTTGTGCTTTTTATTGTTTATTTAACTTGTTTCATTTTTCTTTTCTTTTCTTTTCTTTTAACTTTTATCTGTTTTGTTTTATCTGTGTGATGGATGTTTTGAATCAGTTTGACTTTTGTCTTGTTTTACAGATTTTTTTGTTGCTTGATATTTATTTTTTATTTTTTTATCTTTATTTGTCCTATTTAAATTTTTCTTCACACTTGTATTTTTTACCTTGTATTTTTTGCGTAGTCATGCATTTACGTCTTTTCGTTTTTATTTCACTTGTTTTGTCTTCTTCGAAATTTTCTTTTCGGCCTAGTCCCTTTACTAATCAGGGGTCGCCACAGCGGAATGAACTGCCAACTTATCCACACACATACACTACGGACAATTTAGCTTACCCAATCCACCTAAACCACATGTCTTTGGACTTGTGGGGGAAACCGGAGCACCAGAGGAAACCCACGCAAACACAAGGAGAACATGCAAACTCCACACAGAAACACCAACTGACCCAGCCAGAACTCGAACCAGCGACCTTCTTGCTGTGAGGCGATTCTGCTACCCACTGCGCCACCATGCTGTCCTTCCTTTGTTTTGGCTTGTTATAATATTTTTTCTTTAATTTTTTTAATTATAGTTTTTGCAGATCTAGAAAAACAAAGAACAGGCAGACAAACCCATTATATAACAACAAACCTTGCA